ACAAAGGTATGGAGGAATACCAGGTCCCTGTAGCTGCTTTCTCTCAGTCTCTGGGTGTGCAGCTTTTATTTTTGTCCTTTCATGTCCCCTAGATTTTGTTAAGATCAGATATTTGAAAAAAAGCTTGCATGCATGGGTTAAATGTTTATTCGTTTCTTAGCCTGAGGGTATGTTTACAAATGAAAATGTATGCCTAGGTAGAATTCCCCTGGAGGTAGACCAATGATGCTGCAAAGCTGTCTTCCTGGCACTTTGAACAGCATAGAAGTATAAGATGAAGAACCAGAAACTTGTTCTCCTGATAAAAGTACTTTATTCATAAAGGGTACAGCGTGCAAGTTACAGCAGCTTACATGTCTCGGTTATTCAAAGCCAAGGGGTGTGTTTAGGCTGAGGTTAAGGTTGAGGGTATATAAACGTAATTATGCACTTCTGCCTAGGGGGAACTCACACACGGTAGGTAGGGGTACTGCTTCTGCTGTGATTACAGCAGAAACCGATCAGTGGGTGCCAGCCAATGGATATCTGCCAGCAACACCGATCCACAAGCAGACACACAGAACGGAACTCTGCCTATGTAAACAAGGCAGAGTTCTGTTCTGACAGGGGGAAGTGATTGATCTTGTGTCCCTGCACAGCAGGGAATAAGATCCATCACTTACCTTAGTAAAAACAGCACACACAGTACACAAAGCCCATAACTAGGCACACAGTTAAAGCGGAATTCCACCTTTTTTTTTTTTAATGTTCCTCTGTTAATACTGTTCCTGTAGTGTATTTCTAAATACCTGTAAATAATGTGGAAATACTGCACTTCCAGTCCTGGCCACCTAGGTGATGACGTGTTTAGGCAATTTACAATGTCTCCTGGGATGTCGGGTCCTGTATCCCAGGAGTCCTTGGGATTCCTAGTTGCTACATATCATGTGAACTCAAAACCGGAAATGGACAGGTTGCCATAACAACGGGGAGGGAACTTCCACCATCTCCGACATTGTTATGGCAACCTGTTGTACACAAGTTGCATCGAGTAGTGTTATTACTATGCAAGCGTGAGATTGAGAGGTGCATCCTGGGATAGTCATCAGCACCTACTCCTGGAAATACAGACCTGTAAGCTTCAGATGCCCACATCCATCATGGCGCCTGCCTGCTTCCGAGATCAAGATAAACTTACTTATTTACAACAAACAAGCAGGCTATCACAAATAACTTGATTAATTTACTAATGTGAAAGATTAAACAATACTGGGTCAGCTTTTAAAAAAAATGATGGGGACTGGAGCTCCACCTTAACCCTTTGATCACCCTAGATGTTTAACCCCTTCCCAGCCAGTGTCATTAGTACAGTAACAGTGTATGTTTTTAGCACTGATCACTGTATTAGTGTCACTGGTTCCCACAAAAGTGTCAGTTAAAATGGGAGATATATACAGGTGAAACTCAAAAAATTACAATATCGTGCAAAAGTTCATTTATTTCAGTAATGCAACTTAAAAGGTAAAACTAATATATGAGATAGACTCATTACATGCAAAGCAAGATAGTACAAGCCGTGATTTGTCATAATTGTGATGATTATGGCTTACAGCTCATGAAAACCCCAAATCCACAAGCTCAGAAAATTTGAATATTGTGAAAAGGTGCAATATTCTAGGCTCAAAGTGTCCCACTCTAATCAGCTAATTAAGCCATAACACCTGCAAAGGGTTCCTGAGCCTTTAAATGGTCTCTTAGTCTGGTTCAGTAGGAATCAAAATCATGGGAAAGACTGCTGACCTGACAGTGGTGCAGAAAACCATCATTGACACCCTCCATAAGGTGGGAAAGCCTCAAAAGGTAATTGCAAAAGAAGTTGGATGTTCCCAAAATGCTGTATCAAAGTACATTAATAGAAAGTTATGTGGAAGGGAAAAGTGTGGAAGAAAAGGTGCACAAGTAGCATGGATGACCGCAGTCTGGAGAGGATTGTCAGGAAAAGGCCATTCAAAAGTGTTGGGGACTTTCACAGGGAGTGGACTGAGGCTGGAGTCAGTGCATCAAGAGCCACCACACACAGACGGATCCTGGACATGGGCTTCAAATGTCGTATTCCTCTTGTCAAACCGCTCCTGAACAACAAACAATATCAGAAGCGTCTTACCTGGGCTAACGAAAAACAGACCTGGTCTGTTGATCAGTGATCCAAAGTCCTCTTTTCTGATGAGAGCAACTTTTGCATCTCATTTGGAAACTAAGGACCCAGAGTATGGAGGAAGAATGGAGAGGCACACACTGCAAGATGCTTCCAGTGTGAAGTTTCCACAGTCTGTGTTGATTTGGGGAGCCATGTCATCTGCTGGTGTTGGTCCACTGTGCTTCATTAAGTCAAGGGTCAACGCAGCCATCTCCCAGGAGATTTTGGAGCACTTCATGCTTCCTTCCGCAGATGAGCTTTATGGGGATGCTGACTTCATTTTCCAGCAGGACTTGGCACCTGCCCACACTGCCAAAAGCACCTAAACCTGGTTCAATGACCATGGGAGTACTGTGCTTAATTGGCCAGCAAACTCGCCTGACCTGAACCCCATAGAGAATCTATGGGGCATTGCCAAGAGAAAGATGAGAAACATGAGACCAAACAATGCAGAAGAGCTGAAGGCCGCTATTGAAGCATCCTGGTCTTCCATAACACCTCAGCAGTGCCACAGGCTGATAGCTTCCATGCCATGCCGCATTGAGGCAGTAATTGCTGCAAAAGGGGCCCAAACCAAGTACTGAGTACATATGCATGCTTATACTTTTCAGAGGTTCAATATTGTTCTATGTACAATCCTTGTTTTATTGATTGCATGTAATATTCTAATTTTCTGAGATTGTGGATTTGGGGTTTTCATGAGCTGTAAGCCATAATCATCACAATGATGACAAGTCACGGCTTGAACTATCTTGCTTTCCATGTAATGAGTCTATCTCATATATTAGATTCACCTTTTAAGTTGCATTACTGAAATAAATGAACTTTTGCACGATATTCTAATTTTTCAAGTTTCACCTGTATTATATGTAGGGGCAAGATGTTAAGCATTTCTAACCTTGGGAGATATCATCCCTACTACATCTATATAAAAGGGAGATAGAAAATGGGATTTTGTGTATACCTCCAAAGGTATAATACAAACAAACAACGAAAATATAAAATATTAACACTTTATTTGATATATAACAAACTTGTCAGTTAAAATAATTTAAAACCAAATATGCATATTAACAATCCAAAGTAGCTGTTCATATAGTCTTAAGATCAACTTGTAAATGGTCGACACATTTCGAGGGAAACCCCCACTTCATCAGGGCCTCGGATCTCAATATAAGACTGCTTTAAATGCACTTGCAAAAAAGTGTGGTTGCTGATATAGTCTGCTGGGCCCGTGGGGAGGGACCCAATCTCAAAGAACCTCACAACCAAAAGAGATCATATATATGCCTAGGACAACTTAATCCTAGCTCCACATGTATTTGAAAAACTTGCAGTATAAGAGGGTAGAGTACTTACTCCAGAACAGAGGAGAGAGGCTGCTCTGAGAACACTGTGTCACCAGCTAGTACCATCACTGATACGCCATCTTGAACACGTTGCATACTACACTTTCTGTAATTAAAATGTGTTAATTTCCAGCCTTGATTGTATGTCTTGGCTTAGCTAAAGAGGAAGGCTGACAGAAAGTTTACAGTACTGAAGTTCACAGGCTGCTGATATGGCAGAAAGGAGAGAATATCAGAGTGACCCAGACTGGGCTAGATTTTATCTAACCATACCCCTTTAAGCTCCTCCCACTGTTACCTGTTCATTACAATCTAGATTCCGAAATGCCTTGGACCGTTGATAGAGATTTACAAATCAAGCAGAACAGGTTTCAGATAGAAGACATGAATGTTACATATGTAAGGAAATGTGCTAAATTCTAATACAGTGGATTACAGGATACTCAGAATGTACATTTTTGATCATGCTTGGGGCACTTCCCACCAACATATGATTCACTAAAAACTCTTTTAACTTTTGCTAAGTCATTTTACTGTGAACAGGCCAAAGAAATTTGACCTCCTTCACAACACACACAGATAAATGCATTCACCCTGTCACTTTCTCATACAATTCATAGGGAATGTCAGTTTTAAAAAGTCAAAAGTGAACAAGTCTGTATCTCAAGTTGTGGTATCTACAGTATAAATGTGGTGGCACTTGGAGGTAGCCCGTGGCGGTACTAAATGCAGTAGTAAGTGGCAAGTGTGTCCTATTACTGATAGGCGGCGCACATGTCACGGGCCAGTCCAAGGGTCGTTAATCAAGATGACAGACATAAATCCCATGGATATCTACAGAAGACTTCAAGCACAGTACTGTGTTGAGACTATCAGCCGCAGTAAGACATTTGAATGGTGATACCATACGTCCATCAATGACGATCCCGGCCATGGCGATTCCCAGCCCACAGCAGTCATTCCTGTGAACATTTAGTGCGTGGAACACCTGATCCTGGATAACTGGCACATAACCTGTCGTGAAATTACACACAAGATGAATCTTTCTGTGGGATCGTTGAACACAAAGGTGAAGAACTGAAGCATGATTTATTTAGTTTTTTGCTATATAAATAAAAAGTCCAAACATTTTTTTAAAAAAAAGTGTTTTTCTTATAAAATTTTGCAAATAAATAATCTTTCTTCATAAACCTTGGCCAAAATGTATTCAGCTATCTTTTTAGTAAAAAAAAAAAAATAACCCAAATTAGTTTATAACCAAAAATAATTTTAAAAAAAAATTGTTTACATTTTAATTTTTTTAAATAATATTTATGTATTGTTTTAACATACTGTCACCCTAGCAGTACAGTGTCACCATAGTGACACTGTACTACTTGTGGGGGGTCTTGAAGATTTTTTCTTTTTTACACTGATTGCTTTTACACCCATAAAGACTGTAAAACCAATCATATCTCCTTCTCTTTGGCTGCATTCTTGCAGCCATTGAAAAATACAGTGATTGGTCACAGCTTGTCACATGGTACAAGGCTGTTGTGAATAGCCTTGTACCATGTGAACTCTGTGATCATTCACAGATTTTTACTAGTAGTAAGCAAAGATGTCAGGAAGTGACACCTTGTTTAATACTATTCATGTGATCACTGATTGGCCAATCAGTGATCGCATGATCAGGACCTCACACAGAGGTCCCGTACAGCGATCGGTGTTCCGCTGTATGCTCCCAAGGAGCATGCACATTCAGTGAATGCAGAGGCCTTTTATAAATGGCCACCCACTCCTGCACTGCTTCCGTCTGGCCGTCTATGTACATGGGTTGGACGGGAAGTGGTTAAAGAATACTGTAGCGGGTTACCCATTTCCTCACCATGCTCAGATGCAAATTAGTTTCTCTGCTTCCTTTCTCAGCAGCTCAGAAAGAAAACACCTGGTGAAGCATAAGTAGCTGGGCAAATGATCTGCAGCCAGGTGATAGGCCCTCCACTGTCAGAACCAGAGTGCAGGCAGCTGGGTAGGGGGTCTAAGAGCATACGGTTTCTCCAGAAGACCCAACTGTATAGAGTTTCACTGCAGCTGCTATCAAAGTAATGCAATTTCAGTGGGGTGGCCCTGTGCCCTTGTGCCTTAGATCCCTCCATCTGTTTGCCTGTTTTACAAGATCTACCCTGGACTTCACCAAGAGGAATACTGTTTGTGTTCTGAACTGCTTTACTGAAGTAATGATTTTCAGCTAGACTGTTGCTACAGAGTCTTATAAGGATTACGCTATGCAGCCATATTGTTAGAGATTCTGTATATATCCCTACAGACCTGACCGTACACAGTCCACGTGTTTATCTGCTGCTTCTTTGCAAACAGAAAACAGGAATTTTATTATAGAGAAAAGACATAGCGTTTAACCATAGATGCAGCTACAAACATATACTGTAAACACTGCTATCTACTTGTTGAAGAATATATCTCTACTGAATACTGATGGTGTAGTTGCACAAAAATACATGAACACTGTATTCCAACACATACTGTATTACCCTGATAGAGCCACAAGAACATTGCTCTGAAAAGTCCATGTTTGTACACTTTTGTATCTGTATTGTATTATTCGACAATGTAAACATGCTCTTTGTCATTGTGCAGCTGTTTATTAACCCCTTGATGCCGACTGTACGCAAATTAGTGGCCTCACAGAACTGGGCTTTTTTTCCGTGGGGCTGCTAATTTGTGTAGCTGTGTTTGTGCTGGGAACGTGCCAGATAGCTTACTCCCAGCACAAAGACCGGGGTGCCAGTGAAAGCCCCGGGGCCATTCTAACTATTGGGACCCGGAACTCAAAATTCCAGGTCACCTGATCGCTGTGATAGCCTCTAATTTTCTATCACAGTGATCAGTCACTGTGAAGCCCGCCCCCTTTGTTTTCTTTCTCTGAATGGAGGAGAGAGATACATTGTATCTCCCTCTGTTCTTTCAGAGAGAAAAAAAAAAAGTATGTGTAAAAAAAAAAAAAAAAAATAATAAACAAAAATGCCTAGATCAAGGTTTAATCTAGGTCTGTGCCAGGGTTAATGTTTGGGTCAGGGTCAAAAGTCAGGGTCAGTTTTTTTTTTGTCAGGATTTTTTTTAGATTAGTATCAGTGTCAGTTAATGGCAGGATAAAAAAAGTAAATTGCGCACTATGGTTTCTGGGCTGTATTACGGGTTCAAACAACAACATACACACATGTGCTATCGCTGCGATTGTCAAGAGCAGAAGAAATTATTTTGGGTTGTCCTTTGTAGGTAAGTAATGGTAGTATGAAAAAATATACAGCTAAATTTTTTAAAAATATATTTTTTTAAAAAATCGGAATTTGGAGCACAAAAAAAAAATTTCACAGTATTTGGGGGAGCTTAAAGTGTTACTAAACCCAAAAGCAAACATTTATTAAATTGAAGCTTACCATTTTGTAGATGGCTTCATTCTCTTTTTTAGGCTTTCATTCTTCTATATTCATTGTTTTTCAAAAGAACAAGCACTCCAGCAGAATGCATAACTTACAGTGATGAGACAAACCATTTAACACTGGCAGGGGTGCTTGCAATGATCAGCTTTTATTTATTTATGTTAAACCTTTATCCCAAATGGAAAAAAAAAAACTGTTTGCTGTAGCTGCTTAGAAAGTATTAGCTGGAGTTTGGATTATTGTGTATTTAAATCTCAAGTGCATCTAGCACTCCCCTCCCCCTAGACTGACAATGCTGCTGCTCAAAGGTGTCCTTGTTATTATTCATTCAGAGTGGGAGAACTCTACTACAGGAGGTGTGTTACTGGCCAGATCACCAGGGAAAACAGGGGAAAAAAGCCTGAAAGAAACTAAGGTCCCTTTCCCACAGGGCGCAATCCAATTTGCTCAGGACAGGATCTGTCCTCTGATTCCCTGCTGAGAAGAGCAGAGCAGGTGGATGACAGGACTATTTCTGTTTATGCAGAGATGGAAAGAGCCGTTCTGCTCTATGGGTGTCTGGGTATTCAAGGATTGGATCAATCCTGACTGCCCTCCCATCCACTCTGCCTAGATGAAGAGAGACAGTTCTTTCTTTTTTTCTTAGCGGACCAAATCAGATTGGGAAGGGGGTGTAAAAGTCCCTTTGCACCCACTGGTACATGGACCATCTGATCAGATCCGTTTGTCAGGTTCTCAGGCAGACCTGATCAGGCGGACCAAATCAGAGCAGTCGTGTGAAGGGACCTTATGCAGCCACCACATCTAATGATGGTAAGCTGCAACATATTACATTTTTCGTTTTGGGTTTAATACCGCTTTAAATCAGCTAAATACATTCCAGGTGGTAAAATCAAAAGGCATTACAAATCTTTATTTTGAAAGCAGTCACATCCTGAGTAGAATAAGCGTTGCCTATGTCAACATGCTGTAGATAAGGAACCTTGATTTCTGTGTGGAAGCAGTGGTCTCTGTAGAGGTCTGACACTGCCTCCTGCTGATTGGAGAGCTGTACTTCATACTCAGTCGGGAGTGTATTGGTTCTCTGCAGAGAGACCACTGCTTCCACACAGAGAGTAAGGGTCTGTTTCTGCAGTATTCTAGCATGGATTCCTTCTCTACTGGCTTTCTAAAGGAAATTAACTGTACAACTTTGCACACATTTTTGTTTCTATGCACCTAGAATGCCTTTAGCTAATTTCAACTGTAAATTATTTGGTCTATGAAGTGTGTGGTTAATAGAGAAATAAAATTTGAAATGGCGTTAAACCTGTAATAGAAGTTATTAGACTGTGTCAGTTTTGTAAACATACCCAACTGCAAAAAATGGACATCAATCAGTAGTAAATGGTTACTTATGTGGTTTCTTCATTGCCACCAATTATTCAACCCCTTAAAAGACTACCACACTGAAGAAACAGAGGTACTAGATTTTTGTTTGTCTAGATTTTTGTTTAACATGTTTGTTAAACCCTTGTTCTGGTGTTCAAAGCATGATGTTAGCAAAAATCTCATATTAAATCTGTAAGCAATTAATAAATATGCACTTCTGCTGTCTTCCACTTGGTTTTAAAAACCCCCCTGCAGATCTCTGTGTTTCCCATTGGATATACATTATGCTTACGCCGCAGTAACTTGATTTCTGTGCATGAAGATTCAGTGATCTGCTTTACATCATTCAATCCTGTTGAAGTCTGCCATTTTGCCTTGAGTGTCATAAACATCTCTAAGTCCTATCATGAACAGTTCTAAGTCCTCATGCACACTGGATTTTTCTACAGCGGCTGTTTTTGGCTTTTGACGTTTTTTTTTTCGTTTTTTTCTACAGCTAGTGCAGCTAGTACACCCCCCCAGCATGTTATCCTATGTGTCTATGCACACATAGACTGTAATCAATGTTTTTTGGCAGGGACGTTTCTTGGCTGGAAATAAAACCCAGAACTGGGTTTCTGGAGGAGTTTTTTAGCTGTAAAAATGCTCTAGCGCTGAAAAACGCAACAAAAAGCAGTAAAACGCTGCAAACTGGCGTTTTTGGACTTTTTTGACAAAAAAAATAATTATTTTGGGTAACAAAATGCTAAAAAATGCAACCGCAGAAAAACGTGTGAAAACGGCACTAAACGCGAATGCAAAAATGCTAAAAGAAAGCTGAAAAACTCACGTTTTTAACATGACTTTACACAGCTAACGTTACCAGCGTTATCAAAACGCCCCGTGTGCATGGAGCGTAATACTTGTTAAATTTAGAATGTCTATTCTGTGTTCTAGATGCCTAAATTGGCTTTATAATATTTAAAGATGTGTTAGGGTAGCCATGGGGTTAAGAGGAAAGAAGAAAAGAAGACCACAGTTTCTGCCCCGTCAAGTAGCAGAGCTCATAGGTGTCCTGCATTCACATCACGTACTAACAAGAAACAAGCCCACTGGAGAAGACAGCAAAGACAATGCCCCATCATTCTATCGCTGCCCTTTTACTGTCCAATCACAGGCTGGGGGCAAGGAGGTGACCAGACCATGTTGTTTAATTGCAACAGTGAAAATGTAAGGCTAGACATTCTGTTTTTGCTGTTTACATGGGGTTCAGCTTCTAAGATGCCTTTTCATCACCATTTACATGTGTAGTCAGGTGCAGTCTGTTTTCTCCACTATAGGTGATGCTCAACCTGAGTGGTGCTACAGCTGGAGAGGAAGTCAAAGGGAAAGTCACAGTTTATCTATGGATTCCTGGGGCAATGGAGCAGCCTTCCTGTTAGCTACACTGCAGCCATGTGACCCTTGGTAGCCATCTTGGGTTGGCAGGGTCTATATAAGTCCCTGCCCATGGATTTTGCCATGCATTATGTAAGTGGCTAGTGTAGGGACAGTGACCCTGCTTGTTAGGGAAAGTAGCAGTAGGTAAAGGTTCCTGATGAGAAGGGACAGGCTAGGGACTTGCTACCTGTAAAGAAGCCTCCCTGCCAGGTCACACTTTAACCTCTGAAACAGATACTGTCGGCATCTGTCCTAGCCACATCAGACTGCATTGAACTGTGAGTCCCTAGGGATGTGTTTGCTCAACACTAGTTTCAAGTTTTTTGCAAGCGGACTCGCTGTGTTCAGTGCCGCTGCACCATGCTGCACTTCCCCCACATGCATTCTGGAATATGAAACCTAAAAAAGATCTTCACCCCTTTTTCATATTTTGTTTTTCATACCCAATTACCCTACCTACACTTGTCCTTCATAGATATACATGCCCCGCAAATCTAGCATTACTTTACAGTACGACCCCCCCTTTCCTGTTTTTGCTGCTACTCACTGGGTCCAATACCAACATCTTCTCTTTTTACATCATCTGGAAAATGGTTGTCTCTATC